CTTGATCTAGTTGGAGCTGTCTCTGCTTATGGCAGGGGAATTGGACTAGATGACCTTTGGAGGTCCCTTCCAGCCCAGACATTCTGTGATTCTATGATTACTTCTGAGAGTCTCTACTTCCAGACACACAAGTCAAACTGAGGAACAAAAGGCAGGCCACAAAATAAAAGTCTGGAAGGAAAAAAACCTGCTATAACCCTTCAAAATAAAGATGTTTACCAACATAGTTTTCAACATAAAATAGGAGAAATGCTAGTCACTTAACCTTCACATTGGCAAGAATTTGAATCCTATGACATGCACACATGGGTGATTTTATCTTAGAAGTAGTAAAATCTTTCTTGTTATTGGATAGCATTTGCAAACCTCTGAATTCTGAGAACAGACTGACAATTTTTAAACATTACCTGGTGGCAGAATATAATAAAAAAAGTTATTTGTATAAGAAAACTAATAGCAATAGTATTTTCAGAATGTCATTGTTTCTAATACTGCATGTTAAAGTTTCTTTCACAACAGACTATATAGCAAGCTCTAGAAAAAAGCCCTTATTACGCCAAAGTCATACAGAAAAGTCACAAGTGAAATTCTAGGGGAAAAATTAATCAATACTATCTTGACCATTGCTGGAGAACAGATGCAGGCACAGATCTGTTGTAACCTAGTATAGGTTAGATTTTTAATTTTACCCTGACTGCTAGTAAGACTTCCTACAGTTGTTTTTTTATACTGTATACTGTAAGTATCCTTTCAGAATCTACAGAATACTCTATTTGAAAGATAAATATCTGCTTTTTGTCACTACGGAAAGCCCTAGTGATCTATTAGATATTATCTAAAGCAATAAAAGGATGAATACTTTGTTTGCTATTAAAAATACTCTCTCAGTTATACTGGTACAACACATTTGTATTCACACAGACATGACATTAGAGCAACCCAGGTCCTAAAATGGCATTGATGACTTCGTAGTCTGTCAGATTAAATCACATCATTAGAAGATCCCACACCTTTCCTATATCTAAAGACAAGAATTCTCAAAGTATTTAAAATTTCTGCACCTTATTCCCTCTCTAACTACATTTAGATTAAGTATTCCAGATGCCTGGGGCACATACGTTTTCCAATTTGACCAATGTCTGCCAAAGAAAAGCGTTAATATGACATTAGGAAATATTAATAATTAACATCTTACAAAGGCAATGTTATATTGCAACATTGTAGTTTTGCAGTTTTTATCTTTAAACAAAAAGTTCTTTCTGTTCCAGCTACCCAAGGAAGCTAGTTCATAGTCCAGCATTTTCTGAAGAGAATATTTCCCCAGAAATTTTTCTTTTTAGGAAACCTTATGGTTAAAGTCTTTCATACAAACTGTTTAGAATGTCTTTTTTTATGTAAATATTGTTTCTGATTTTCAAGTATACTTCACCTATACAGTAGAAATTGCCATCTTGAGGCCTCTGTCTTTTACTGCATTTTTATCAGATTAATTGCTAGGATGTTACAAAATACAGACTTCACTTGCTTCTGCCAGAGGAAAGCCAGACAGAATTGGAACTCTGGACAAGTCATCTTGTTTGTAATAAATTGAGAAGTAAACGAATTGAGCCTTGAGATGCTTTTAGCCATTATTTCTCAGCAAGTATTAAAAATATGATGTGATGTTGGAAACAATTACACAGAAGAATTTCTCTGGTAAAAAATAGGCTTTTTATTTGCAAAAAAGTTAAGCAGTCTTTTCTGAAATGTCAGAGCATAAAATAAACTGCCAATCAATATATCAAGCTTTCACAACAATTTAGGTGGTTTTTAACAGTAACTTATATAACTCATAGAACAGGGCATAATACTTCTGCTTTGCTATCACTACTGTAATACATGCACATTTAAATGCTTGTCAGAAATATATGACTTATCAGTGGAAAAATTCCTACTTCAGGCATGACAACAAAGTTTTTAAGCAAGTAGCTAAAGACAACTCCTATCAGACACAAAAGCACAAACTATGGATTTAATTACCCTCAACAGAAGATACCTGCTTTAATCAATGAGTAATACAACTTCCAAGTAATTTTGATCTTTCTGTTACTAAGAATGATCAGAAATACTTTAAGTTTTCATTTCATCAGCAGTAGGTAGTCAGTACTTCCCAGACAAAGTATTTTTAACACATCAGTACTGACTTGCTGCATCATGCTTTACCTTAAATGTATTTGTAAAGCCAGCTAAAGTCTACGATAAGGGTCAACACGCAGCTGCCTACCTGCTAAATAAGGCAGATTAATATGAAACTCTGTTGTACTATTCCACAGATCATAGTCCTACTAAAAATTTGCAGTGAGGTCCTACCCATTACCTTCAGACTGTAAATAGTCTTATTAAATAAGAGTAGTACAAAAGAATGTCACTCTTGGACTGAGAGACCTAAGCTGACAAACACCAGAGATCTGCCAAGTGTAAGTTTTACCACCTCAAGAGAAATCAGTAAAATAGCACCCTCCCTTCCTCCTAGTTCCAACATGGCTAGAGATGGGGTATTTGGTGAAATACAGCCAAAGTAATTTATTTCACTGAAATAAACCAGCTATTAACTTGAAGCAACGATATGAATATTTTATTCCCCTTCCTTAATCAAGCACTGTGGTCACAGACAGGTCACACATAATGAGACAAGCACCAATATACATGGTGGGATTATTACAAGCATTTTGCTAATGTACAGCTCTTCAACTAGAAAACAAGTATACAGAAGCTATAAAAAAAAGTATCTGACCTTTATTTTTATGGACTCCAGTAAAACAAGAGAATACATTCTATTACAAGAAAAAAACTGACAGTAACCAACCAGGAATCTCTTGGATAGTAATAGAAGTATCTGCAATAAACTTGCAAAATGCAGTCTTCCTGGTTTTGTAATATGTGGCTCTGTTCCCAGTAAGACAAAGAGTTCAGTACATGCCAATAATACACTTTCTTGTTCAAAAGACACTTTTCAGAAAGGGACAACCTGTGTATCTCTTTAGATAGGTATGGTTTGCAGTAATTCACACTATAAGCAGCAGGGGTTTGGTGGCTGGGGAGCATCAGGTTTCCTATCTGCACGAGCAAGCAAGGCAGCAGAGACTGGTATTCCCCAGGGAAAACCATCAGGCTGGGACTTGCTGCACACCCATCCCAGGTCAACCCAGCCTGTAGAGCAGAGAGCCAGGGCTCTGCCCAACCGCTTGACTATGCAGGGTGCCCTCCTCTCAGCTTTTTTATCAGCTGCTATACACCTCCTGGCCACAGCAGGATACAGTTTGTATCTCACAGGAGCCAACAGGAACATGCAAAAATGTTAACAGAAAAATGTGACAAGATGTTTGGTGGTACAACAGACAGTTTCTACAATTTCAATAGTTTGGTGAGGTCTTAAAGCAACAATGCAATCTCCCTTAGGGGAGGCTAAACTGAGAGCTTGGAAGAGGCCAATGCCTGTGCCAAAAAAGCACACTCTGGTATATGCTGTGCAATTTTAGCCAGTCAACCTCAGTTTTCATCTGCTAACTGTAGGTAATTTTACTCCAAAGACCACTGCTCAGGCAAAGTTGAATTTTGTTCCAAATAACAGAAAAGCATCTACTGTGAATAAACAAGAAATACAATAGACAACACAACTTTTTGCTACTGTTATCTGAAGAGGTTGGTAGGGTTGATCCTTTCATTGATGCAATTTTTCGCGTGGCATCAGCATTAGTACTTTTGTTAAGTCATTTGGAGCAGTGTGCATGTTTGAAAGCTTCCTTGTGCGTTTGTTTGTATTGCTATGTAATCGTCTTTACTATATATCTGTCTTTACTACTCTTGTGATTTCTTGGCTCTAACTCCGGAAAGACTTTAAAGCCCTGATAAATAGATAGGGTTGCAGCAACTGATGAAGGCAGTACAACATCTACCATGAACAAACATGAAATACAACAGTCAACAAAACTGATGGTGACCTGAGATAGTATTTCCTCAGTCAACGTTAATTTATTTCTAAACTTAAATGAAAGCTGTATTTAGCACACATCTTTTCAAAAATATGGGCCAATAAACTGCTGCAAAAATAATTTCAGTGGTTTTTAGGTTATGGGGGTTAAAAAGGCAATGTCTCAATCAAATCCCTAATTTGATACAATAACTTAGGGGCAACAAGAGGCAAATTACACCCAAAGGTGATCACATTACAAAATAAAAACCCACGCATTCTCTGATATCAGAATGAAAACACTGATGCCTATAAAATGTCAGAAAATTGTGAACAAGTAAAGCTAAAACAGAACTACTATTCAAATGAAAATCAAAGGTATTCAACTGCGTATTTTACTCTTATAGGTAACTACCACCACACGATGTTTATTCAGCATAAAATTATTTAATTTATCAGTAGAATAACTTAGTAGATGAAATGCAAACACCCTCCATGAGTCTCTGACAAACTAAGATGTAACAGTGACAAGTAGAACTATCACCATGAGACACGGAAGCCCAAAGTATGCCACCTGCAAGTATGTAAGTATGTTCACTCTTGTGATGACAAAGGACAAACACGTTGGGTTTGGTTTGGGTTTTTTTTTTTTTGTTTTTTTAACTGAGCAGTGAGTGATACACATTTTACAAGCTTAGAGTTGAAAATTACCTGGAAAAGTTAACACCCACTCACTAAAGAAAAGGACTTCAAGCCATAAGATAAATCACTTCAATACTTAGCAAAACTAAATTGTATCTAAATTATTAACAACAGGACTAGCTTTTTTTTCTGTTTTTCAAATCAGGCAGATCTGTCCAGACCTGAGCATTTTGTCCGTTATCCTTTCAACAACAAATTATCTTAAATCCACTGTCAAATATTATCTGCCACATCATTGTAGTACATGGGCCAGTAATTTAATTACTTTGCTTCTTCACATCACTCTAAATAACGTTGTACTTCTCATAATAACAAAACAATCAAAGAACAAAGCTTTCACATGCTGTACCTGCAAAGCACAGTTCATCATTCGCACAATGTAGTCAAACTGCTGATGGTCCAGTATTGCTCGATTTTGTTTAACGTGCAGGCCTAACTCCTGTGTCAGGCAGTGCCGTGCTGCCTTTCCTTTTAGGGCTCTCAGAGCTGCAGGCAGGGTCTGGAGAGAAGAAAACCTAACTTCATGAAAATGAAATTAAATGGCACTATTATACTGAATATCATTCATTCTTCAGTATGAAGCTGTAGGTGACAGTATAGTAAAATATAACCTTGGAAATGACTCATCAGCTTGAACAGTAAACTTTCACACAATTGTTGATTGAGCTTGAATCATTAAGTTTTTCCCATATTTTTTTTCAAATGCATTAAACAACATTTCTCACCTACATCTGTAAATAGAAAATACTGAATATGAACAGTCATTGAACAGATGTGAAATCAGAAATGGATTACTGTGCAGGAAAGCAAGTGCCCTATTCTGTACCAGCCAGGCCAGGTCTCACGTTAGAGCACCAAGGCCAACCAGCATGCCTTTTGATAAGCAGTAGTGACAAATGGCTTGAGAAGAGGCATACCTCTCATAGCAATGTGGTCACAAGGCTGTTAGGCACTCTGCCCTAGAACTGTGCCAACTGAATACTCATGCCAACGTTTAAAGGACGCAGCAGGCGCTACAATTATTATCAGCTGTGGCCCTACAGACTAGATTTAACGGGTGGTAACAGGTAAATAAGAAAAGGCAGCCTCTTGTCTAACAATGAATTTACCATGCGGGGGACAAAAAACTGACATTTTCCAAGTGCCTATAATTCAAAGAGGTTAAAATTCACCGTTGTAACACATGGATAAAAACTCTTTAAAGAGAGCTACACATTTTATTTGGACTCTTCCTATATGCATTTCTGTAACATAACTTGCAAATCAAGAAATGCTCACTTTCTGTCTTGAGCTGCACAGCTTCAGAGATATACAGGTGTTATTTTTCTGATAAATTTTTCTTAAAATGATTTTACAGTCATTTTCATATGTAGAATTAGATTCAGTGACTATACAAGAATCAGTAATTGAAAATTCTATTCTATTTTAATCCATAAAACCTGGCAATTTATTAATGTAAAAAATAAGGATGTCAAGGATGACAACTCACTAGCACATTTTAATGAAGACAGATATGCCAAATATTTACATTCATCTGAGTTCTATAAAATTACTGATTTTAAAAGCAGCAAAGTTTACTGTATTGAAAATTTCATAAGAGCATTGGTTGACAAACATCAAAACATCTATATATGCCTTTTCTGTTTCCCCTTATCAAAACTGCCAGACCAATATATACCCCTTTTAAAAAAAATATTGTGAACAATACTATTTATAATAGTAACACAAATTAGCAAAAGCACATCAACATACTCATTTAGTATTACAAACAGGATTTCAAATCCTTTAGTTTCATATTATATCGAGTACTTAGATGATTAATTTTAGTGCTTATTTCATTGATTGAAATGGTTAAAATAATCACTAGTATTTGAAACAAGACTTCAAAATACGGTGTGTAACAAGGTCAGTCTCTATTCCCTCTTTAAGCGAACCGAGTCTTATTTGGGAAAGATAAAATTTTATCACCTTTTCAGTCTCCAAAAATTTGTTTTCAAAAATGAATGAGATGCAGTTTCTAACAACTTCCAGCCTTTGTGCGCTGTTGAAAACTGTGCTTCCTTTTTCCATTATGGAAACTAACAAAGAGAAAGAAGAATACACATCTGTGAATTGTCTTCTGCAAGAGCCACAAAGAATAACAGCAGGTTCTTTTTAAACAAACAAAAAATGTTAACATGCTCTCCTTTTTGTTCTAGTAAGCATATATCATTAGTAGGCATATGTAGATGGGAAGAAAAGATCCTGAATATCTGGTTTGCTATATTAAAAAGAGAGTGCTCTGAATTTTAATCAGAGCAATTGATTCTCTTTACTATTGTTCTGTTTGTCTCATACGGGCACAAAGAGATTCCAATCTAACATATTAATGAAACACATAAACAGATACAAATTAATTTCAGAAAGTGTGTTCTGCAGTTTATGTTCTCGCATATTTTGTAGCAGTAGATAACTATTTTTTCCTAAAGAATTAATTTGCCATGCCAAGAATTCTGTGGCATGGCATAAAACCTAACAAACCTGTTCTCTCAACTAGATTCCAATTTGCAGAGATTGAAAGATTATTTTCTTAATGTGGGTGTTTAGCTCCAAATTTTCAGGAAAACCCAGAAAGGAAGAACTAACATTCTCGTTTTCTCTTTAGTATCAAGTAAACAGAATATAAATGCAGAATATGCCCTTCTTGTAGATAATAATGAGCTCCTAATTTCCAAGTATTTTGACACACATGACAGCAGGAAGTACAAATGTGAAAACTGGTCCTTGGAATTAGCTTATTAAGCTAGAAAACCTTCTCTTGCATCTAGCCTGTTAAAGAAAGTCAGCAGAACACAAGCACATATCCTTTACATTTTCTATAAGTAACAGATTCAATGATATAGTCAACAGCAAAGGCAGGTGAATAAAGCTCATCATCTTCTTACATAAGTTCAAAGAGAAACAGGGCTGGAAGGGGCCTCAAGGGAACATCTAGTTCATCCTGCTGTCCCTAGACAGGATCAACTATATTTACATTACTTCTCATGTTTGTCTAACATGTTCCCAAAGTTATGTGATAACAGAGACTCCACAGCTTCACAAGAACAAGAAACACATTCAACTGCCTCACAGTCCTCATTTACCAAGTCTTTCCTGACAAATAAGTCTAGCTTTGTGCTGCAATTTTATTACTTTTTTTTAACAATCTCTTATGTAATTGAAGACTGCTATTATGTCTTCCCTCAGTCCTCTTTTTTCAGTCTAAACAACTCTCTATCTTTCCTGGTAGGTCACATTCTCTAGACCACTGGTCATTCTTACTGCTTCCTTCCGGACTCCCTCCAACAGAACCAAAAATGGAGACAGTCTTCCAGTGTCCAAAAATGGACACAAACAGTCCAGTTGAGGTCTTACTGTGTACAACAAAAGGATTTCTCCCCAGGGTTCACAGACTGTACTCCTGTTAATATATCCTACTAAGACATTTGTCTTTTTTGCAATAGCTTCATACAGTTGGGTCATGTTTACCCAATGATCATTATAATCCTCAAATTAATTAGAAACTGTTGCCTAACCAGCTGATGATGTCTATGCAAGTGCAATACCTTACTTGAAGAAGAATTGCAAAGAAAGACAAAATTCAACAGACTAGAGGTTAGATCTCAAATTTTTCAAGACTGACTTTTCTAATGTCATCATTCAGAAGTTTTTCACTATCTGCCAGCTTCATGTGTCCTGCAGGTTTACTAAACATACTTGTTTACACCAAATTCACTCTGGTAAATATGACTATGACTAATTTTTCTGGCAATAAAAATAAATTGACAAGCCTATTTATATTGAGACAGATGCTATGTTTTTCATTGCCCTTTTCCAGTCATTTACATCTCTTCCACCAGTGTCGAAGGAGAAACAGTTCAAAGTTTGGTTCAGCCAGTCCTACAAGTAACTTACGGTGATATTCATCAAACTCAGATGACTAGACATTATCTAATTTAATAGTTGAGTCTAACTCAGATCAAATTCCTTTTTGTTAGTTATTATGCCACTCACACTCTGTATGTCTGAGTACTAACTAAAGGCTGATGCAAAAGGGCTTTTAAAATGGCAAAGTAAAGCAGATCTACTCACTAAAGGTTACTACAATTACTAAAAATACTGTACTAACATGAAATTGGGAAAAACACATTGCAGGCACACTATATCTTCAGTTTATCAGACAGGATGACAAAGAGGTTGGGGAACAAGTACACATACCAACAGGGGGACCGGCAGGAACAACGCACTTCTTGTCCCCCCGGGCGGCAGGGGGTGCACCCTGACTCCTTGCTAGGCCCTCTTGGAGGAGCTCCTGCACCCGGCATTCATTGATCCAGGGGAAAGGGAGGATGTGAACCCGCAAGTGGGAGCCCTCCGTGGGCCGTGGAACTTTCTGGAATGCTATGTGGGGATTTGGATTCTCCTGAAGGTCAAAAATAAAAGGTTATACACAAATGTATTACGCAGAAGTACCGTCTGTTTCATCCAATTTTATTGCTGTTTTGTGTATCTGTTATACCTGAAAGATTAAGAAGTCGAGTATCAAATGCATCTGACTAATATTGCGTGTTCATATGACCCTTGACTCATTATTTGCACTTTCAACTTTGTTAAAGGCTTTTATGAAACCATTTCTCTCAACATGCAAAATTCAGAAAGAAAGAGAGCAAAAGAAAATCACTGCTTAACTTAGGTTGATTTTATGCAGCTTACTGAATATTTAGGACTTGGATGCAAATTAGTTTAACAATCAAGCTCTTTTTTAGAGAGAGTGTTGAAGAATATTGAAACATACAATCTCTCCATCGAGCACTGAGAAACATTCTCATTGATCAAGACTACAAAATGAAAATTCATTTTTGTACCATGTTGTATCAAACTATGTACATCCCTCATCAGAGACCAATTTTCTATCTTCTGTATGTCCCATAAAAATATGTCACACAGCTCACTGTTTGCACTAAAAATGAAAAAACACAGGTGATCAAAGAGAGCAAATGTTGGTCATAAATTACAAGGATAGTAAAAAGAAGCTGCCACATCAGTTTTTGGGATTTTCTCAAAGTATAGCAAAGAATTCTATTATTGCAAAACTTAAGAATTTCCACTGTGAAGATAAATGTTTGCCTACATGATTTTTCACTCACGTTTTTATGGTCTGTAATAAGAAGCCCCAAATAAAACTTCTATCCTTGGCTTTTGTGTTTTCTTGCAGAGGTCTTCAAAATTAAGATAATTAAAAAAACAGTTTCTCATTGCAGAACACTGACTTATTAGTTTTACCATAATAATTGTCATACAACAGAGATGTGACTGTATATGGGCTATTTGAAGGCTTGCTCTATGTAGGTAAACTCTGCTAGTGTTTGTCAATTCTAGGTGCAGTATGTGGTCCTACATATGGACATGTTTCTCCTGCCTCTGGTGCTCAGCAAGTGGAAAGACTACATGTATCACTCAAGATTCATTCAACTGCCTCCACATTAATTTCAGCTTATTTTAAACACACTTTCCAGAAAGACATCCTGAAGAGAGTAGGACATGAAAATTCACTCTTTTAATTTTTTTCTTCAAGTGTTTGACAATCTTTCCAGAGTTTTTGTTTGTTTGTTTGGGGTTTGTTTGTTTGTTTTTCATGGCTTCAGGTAGTACCTTCTCCAAAACACAACCAAGATCTACATGTTCCATGAGAATACTACCACCATCCATAAGATCATATCTCACATCTTGAGAAGTGTAACGAACAATCAAACAAAACAGGATATTTTAATCTCTTTGCTCATATACGAGGGGTTATTGTTAATCATGTTTGAATTTACTGTTACACAATTTGACTACACTGTGACTTATTACTTGCTATGTATCACTGCCAAGAGTGCTACTCAATCAATTTGGTTTCTGTTGTATGAGGACAACTGACTTGCAGTAGAACTCGTAAACAAGAGCTAGCCTGGTAACTTCAATTTATGTGAGCCAAAAGCAAGGTGGAGAAAAATGCATCAACTTGAGAAAAAGCAGTCAAAACAAACCAGATACTTAGCCATACAAATTCTCTATACAGGAAAATTTAATTAGCCAAGCCAAAACACTAGCTACAGGGATGCAAGCAATAGATGTCAGGAAAAGAAAGGCAGAGAAAGGCAACACAGTCTCATCAGGGGATAAAAGATAACATACAGCAGAAAAAGCCAGAAAGGGAAAATAACTATCCTTCATTCCATTTCACAGACAAGAGAAATCCAGAGAAAATACACAGAAAGTTACTTTAATCTTGGACATCACAAACAACGTCAACTATATATGCTACTAGGAATGCAGGTCTCATGTCTTCAACTACTGAAGCAGTACATGCTAAAATCTTGTCTAGATTTTCCACTCGTACCAGCTAGACGAATACTAACATTATGTCTCCCTAACAAACTTTGTCTTGTACTTAGACTGTCACAGCTACAATAAGATGACTATTACAGCTGTGGAACAAGATGTCAAAATATGTCACGCAGTGAGTTTAAAATCAGGTAGCTCTAGGCATAACTTACAGAAGTAACGTTACTCATCACAGGGCTTTATTCAAACATAGTGTAGGCGTAACTACTAAAAATATGACTTTCAAATGCAGTAAGTCGTTGAATTAGTGGTAGTGAAGTTTAAGAAAAAACAAAAGAAAAAAGTTATAATAAAAACCAAAAATGAATTAGTTTTGACACCGATTTTAAGAAATAATTGTATAGTTGCACATATGCACATTCACTTATGCTTTATAGGCTTTTTCATTCTAAAAAAAAAAAAATCTATATTCATGAGAAAAGAAATGCAAATTCACCATTTCCTTTGGAGTAATTTGGTATCATAACAATAACTATATTGTTTGAAGCAATTTCCTTTATTTTTGGGACAGTACCATAATAATTATATGCTTATATTAAAGGGAAATAAAAACTTCTTTAAAAAACAGATTGATTCTCATGCAACTTCAGTGCAATACTCCTCACTTATCCCCAAATTTGAATTCACTTGTCTCTGCCATCTGAAAAAAAAATACCAGTTTACTTCAATAATGCCCATCGACCTTCTAATTAAATCAAGAGTCCTGAATGTTGCAAAACTGTCAACTAACACATCTTCTGACAGTGTTAACCTGAAAAAAAACCCACGAATTTGGAAAACGCACATTGCTTTACACAGCACAACTATTAAATTAGCAGGAGAGTATTTAATATTTATTCAGAAGTTTTTATTTCCAATTTAGCTCAAAATAAAAGATGATTCCATCAGTACCCATCATTAAAAGAATGTCATAGGATGTGGAGGTATACCATGGGAATAAGTAAGATTTTATTACAGATGACATCTCATGGATGAAACAAATCAATGTAACAAAAATTTTGGTGCTTGGTGTTTCTCATTTTCCACAAGATACAGTCTCTTATTGTAAGTATGAAGTGTCTGTGCAAGGATATTTGTGTTATAATACTCCAATAAGTACGCCTTATGACATATGGACAAGAAACATTTTATACACATTTTAAAATGTGAAATGGATTTAGTCCAAAATTATTTATTGTCTCTTTCTTCTAATGACTACTATCAACAAGGTAGATTAAAATGTACATAAATTCTTTCCTTCAAAGTCATCTGGCAATTTCAGAAGAAAAGAGATGGAGCACATAAGTGAGTGTGTCTGAAGACACTAACTTTACCCCAAACAAAGACTGCATTGACATTGACAAAATCCTTAAAGGCAATTCATTTCGGGGGCAGGGAGGAATGCTTACACAACCTCCTTCATAAACCTTAAACCACCCCAGAATTTACAGTACTTCCTAGCTTTTGTGGGTTTTTTAGAGAAGTGTAGATAGATGTAAATCATAGTTATGGGGAAGGGTGATAAAGGTGTTAACTGACTGTGTAATGGATATTGCTCCCTGGAGACTGAACAACCAACCACAAGAAGAGGGAGGGGGAAGGAGATTAGTTGACACACAAAAAAAAAAAAGGCAACAAAGAACCCCCCCAAAAAAACCAGCTAATGGTAAGAGATTTTACAAAAGCACCAAAGAACACAAAGAAATTATAGAATAAAACAGGAGATGGTATTCTAGGTAACAGGCTGTAAGAAATGGGTACTGGGTTAGCACAGCAGGAAATATCTGCCAAAAGCATACCACATTGGATGTGCAGTTTTCATAAGGAAAATTGCTGAGAGGCAAAATAAGAGCTGTATTTGGCATGGACAGGTTGCATCAGAGAAAGTAACAGTTTATTATATGCTAAGTGAATAGACTCTAAGAAAATAGAATGCTAAATAGCAGTAGTTAACAGGTAATACAATAGTAGCACATTGAATTTTTTTGATATGTACAAAATTGTTGACATTTAAAGTTCCAAAGTCTTTTGTTGTAACGCAGACGATGACTACTACAACTAACCATTTTCATTTTCAGATACTGACCCTATCTCAGAAATGTGAATTTTCAATGTTATTATCTCAACTCTACAAGTGCAGCAGGTACAGTGAACTTACATTTTTGAAGAGCTGTTCTGCAAGTTCTCTAACATGCTTTATCATTTTTGGTGGATTACCTTCCTCAGCTTTAATTCTTTCAACTTCAAAGGCTACCAACTTAAAAAAAAATAAAATAAATATTACAATTCAACTAAAAATAATTTCTTTCCTATTTCAGTTATGAAATGCTAATCTTAAATTGAAACTAAACTAAGAAAACCAAACACTGAAAAGCATGCAACATCACTTGCTCTGGAACATGAGACATTTTCACTTTCTTATAGAGCTGCTGTTACTAGATTTTATAGTCCTACCTAATACATAAAGTCCTACTTACCTAAAACATTGCTTTAACATTTCTAATACTATAATGCATATTTTTCATGCATTCTTCTACTGTGCAGAATTAATACCAACCTCTATTTGTACTCTACATTCAAATAAACGCCACAACAGTACAAATATTTTCAAAGAAAAAACCCCATGTTTGTCCCAGTTTATGTTGTTCGGTATATATTTTAATATTTCTCAATTATTTCCTCAATGTTTCTGAGATAATTACATTACTTAAAATAATTCTGTACTAGCACATGTGATGAAATATAAAGTTCCAAACCTGACACCAGGATCAGCATTACCATGATTTATTCAACTATTTAAAATCCTACACGTGAGCAGGGCATGATTTTATGGAAGTAAGCTTGAAATGTATGCTTAGTAGAAAATGAGAACTGGGAGGTTTACTATAAACTTCATACGATAAACAGCCAGCATTCTGAAGCACTTCAATCGTTTTTCACATGCTGAAATGCCATAGGTACATTTCAATTTACTTGAGAATATAGAAACTGTTTTCACCTCATCAAAAAGATCACAGGCTCTGAATGGAGGACCTCTCTCTGACACAAACCCAGCAAATGCCATTCCATTGAGAACTTTGGTTAGAAAGTCATTCTCAATTAAGCCTCGCTGCCCCAAGAAGGCTGCCTGCAATAAAGACAGAAATAAAGGTGTGTATTTTATCAGTATCAATACTACAACCATTTATATAGTAGCACTTAAACGTTTTCAACAACATTAGTATTATGTGGTATATTCTAGTTAAATCTTTTGTATTCGCCAACTTTTTACACCCAAATTAATCTGTGATGTTACAGGAAACTTGATGTACAAATTTAATAAATCTCACAAGCAATAAATCAGAAAACTAGTACTTTTGTCTTCTAATCACATATTTATGTTTTCAAAATTCCTTAACAATTCCTTAGAAGTTTCTTGGTATGAAATCCTAACATTAACTTCGTTTCAGATTTCACCACTGTCCCTACAATTAGTTCCACTAAAATGCATTTACATATCACTATGTCAAAATTATATGCTTATTTTATCTTCTAAAATTTAACACCATTTGAAAGGCAAGCTCATGTGAATAACATGACACAAACAAATACTAACTAAATATATAGAACTGCTTCTGTCTTACCTTATGGAAATGAATTACTGGTTCAGCATGAATTCTGATCAGCTGAAGACATGACCGGTATCCTTGGAAGAGCTGTGCAAACAGCCTAAGGAAGATCGCTCGCACCTCTTTGTCCTGTAAGTCGGAATTGAATGTGCCATCAAAACATTTCTGTATTCTAAGCTTTGCCACATTTTGTATAAAGCTATCTGAGAAATGCCTACAAATTTGTCAGATAATGCAGCAGGGTAGCACAGAAGTGGAGATACTTGCACACATATGACATTATCTTACATGAAGCTACAGTATCACTGTAGCAGATGGCAGTGACAGATTTAGTACCTATTCACCCATTTTCTCCTAACTGCTCTTTTCTATGCCTGCCCAACAGGCTCTGAACAGTACAAGTGTAACTGTTCCAATGGTTATGTGGTGAACCACATAAAGGAACTGTCATGAGAGAAATCTGACACTAAATAAAGGAAAGAGGGTATTTTAGCCTCCATTTATTCCCTAAAATAAGCGTGGCCTTGCAGCACCACACAAGTAATTCCATCAGAGTGGGCAGGGCCAGCAGGGAACCACAGGAGCCTAAGCTGGCATTACTGCTGCTATGGGAACCAGGCTCAGAGCATCACAGGCACCACCAGAGTCATCAACTGTAGCTCCTCCACCTGAGGAGATTGCTCCAAGTTTGCTCAGCTACTTGTCTAGGACTACTCCTGCTCATGTCTTCACATCTACTCCAGCCAAAATAAGATGGGATTAGTTTAAAAAGTTTCAAACAGTAGAACTTGAAAGTCCTGGTTTATTTTGATTTAAATGAGTAAGAGAGCGCTTACATAAACATTAACGGACTAATGGAAATTATGTGAACAGCTGGGGGCAGACGTGGGGCAGTGACATTTTTAGCTGGCCCAGAAGCAACAAAAGACTGTGATCAAATCCTGTGTCACCCATGTTATTTTATTTCAGCTACCTACTCAGACTGCAGCCACGTCTAAAACCTGAGGTACTAAAAACTGTTTTAATACCCTCAGGGTTTATGGTGTTTCAAAGGACTTTTTAAACAAACTGTAAAAGTTAACTCAAATTCAATTCTAGACACTCCTACAGGCTAAAATCAGCAAGTTTTTAAGTTATCATGGCTTCGCAACTACTTGAAATTAATTAGGTTTTAGTAGAGAACTTTTCTACAGACTTTTCAGTATCGACAACTACATATCATTTCACTCAGGTTCAAGTTCACTAAAGCCATTTAACCATGTATGGTTAAAAACCATGTAACTCCTTTTCCAATGTGTCCAAGCATACAGAGTATAATAACTGTCATTATTATTGTAAAATCAGTGATTATGTTTTGCTGAAACAGCTGCCACTCCTATCTATACTCACATTTACTCTAAAAATCTTCAATGACATTTCTAATATTTCTGAACCTTTTTTTTTTGGTGGGGGAGGTGTCTATAAGACAACTTTTACACAAACACACAAGGAGACCAGTTTGTCCACTTCTGTAAAATGCTGCAGCTTTACTGGTCTACAAATAGGGAGGCACAGATTTAACTTGATAAATAGCTATATTAAAAGAAAATAAGGTGCTTCCATATTTATGTAAATGCATTCATAAAAACTTCTAACCCATTAGAAAGCTACTGCCCAAAGACGGCAGAATGCAAAGTCCAAAGGCATTTCTTTGCTCCACCAAGAATACTATAAAGAATATGAATATGGAAAACAAAAGACAAAATAGAAATTCTTAAATCAAGCTAGTCTAAAATTTCAACTTAAGAAAGTCAAACATAACACAGAAATCTTACCAGCATTTTTGAGTGTGATAAAGCTGTTCGTGGGGGAGGGAATGCATAATCTGCTGTTTCCAAATCAGGATGCAAAACCTAGAGAGTTTTTTAAACAAGAATTTTTTCCTCTCATGTTGTTGAGGAAAGGATATATTACTCTTTTTCTTCTTTCTCAAATTAATATTCACTGATAAATAAGAAGCTCAAATAATAGATTAAGTTACATTATGAAGACTGTACAGAAATAAAGGTGGGATGACTTTCTCAGGTTCAGGTTTCTGTAAGTGAGCTAGTGAGCAAAACCTCCTTTACAATCAATGAAGTTAGTTACTACAGTTAGGGATTTTAGAGTTGATTCATCTGAAACAGATTGAAAGAAAATTCTTCTCCTTAAGATAAGCCTTGTTTAGAAGCCTCCAAATATGGTGATTTCTAACATGAAAATGATAGTAAAAAGACAAACTGAACCACTTTTTTTGATGATTCCCTAACATAGAATCAATCATTCCTGAATACTGATATAGGGGTATCATACAAATAAACTTTAAGGCTAATTGGTTACTGAGTTGTTAAACTTCAAGACAACAAGGAATTGAAATGAAGGCTTAAAAACAGAAAAGCTAAACTGAATAGTAACAATGCTGTTCAAATATGAGGTTGAACTTTTATTTAAAAAAAAAAACAAACAAACCAACCAACATTTTTAGGAAGGAAAAATCACTACCTGCCTCCTGAATAGTGAAAAACCATTTCAATGCTAAATTATTAATAACTGTAAATTCTTCTAAAAAAAAAAAAAATGCTGGCATGAATCAGTTTTAGATCTCACATCTCCAGTGTGTTTGAAAGTGATTTAATATTGAAATTAATTTTTCATTATTTAAAAATATGTAAGAGGGTGGACAATGGGGTTTGTATGAAAACATACTAGAGAAAGCGCCATTTGAGTCTGATGTAGCAGTGGCTCTGGCAGCTGAGAAAGATGAATACATTCAGGAATTTTAATTGTGCCTCCATCCAGGTCTGCTATGATTACATCTAACTATAAGAGAGAAACAAAAACATTATCAAGTAGTTAATAGAGTAGGCATAGTTTAAAAGCACAACTGTTCAAATTTCATGATTCGTACATCAGTTAAAATAAATTAAAACAGTACTAACTTTAATGTACAGAATGCTTTTGATAAAGGAAATACTCCAAATACTTTGTATTACTGAATCTAGCCATGAAAAATGAATTTAAACCAAAGAAAACAAAATTAGGCCGAACTCTCAAAAGTGACTTCTGCTCTGGATGTTCCCAGTCTATGTTCAATGATTTGAGATATCCAACAGACTGTTTGCAAAAGAACCATAAGTACCATTACATGTTCCCAGGACCTCAGTAACCCTGGTTCATTTTTTCCAAGCACATGCTTTAAAAAATAAGGATAAAATAATTGAGGATGTATTTGAATATCCTAAGTGAATTGTTTAAACTCATGACAAGTACATGACAAAGCTGGAAATGGATCCATTCCTTCCCACCCTGCACTAGAATTAAATAATCTCTGTCCTCCATAGTGCCAATGTATTTACAAAAGAATTTATGCTTTTTCCCTTTTCCTGATTGCCTTGTCTTGCTTTTGACAATAGTATTTTAAAAATCTATGCATTTTTCACACAAATGCCTCCGAAACACAAAAAAATCTCTACAACTAAACATCACAAATGACATTGTGACTATGAATAAGACACACTTACAAGCTCATGAATGTCATTGCGAAATACAGAATGTACACCAATTATGAAAGGAGTTGGTGAGCTGAGAACTTCCAACAGCTGTGCAGGAAGAATTGGAATATACGGATAACTGTGAAAAGAATAAATAAAATAAAATAAAAGCTTCTGACTACCATTTCACATAAGGCAACATTTTTCTTAAAAAAAAAAAATCTTCGTGTTATGTATTAAATTTACTACAAATACCTGTATTTTTAAAATATCTTTAAGTGAAATAATTTGCTTGAAACTGAAATGACAGCTAGATATTACAGGTAGAACACTATTTCAGATATTGTTTACTTGATTTGACAATTTAAAAAATCAGTGTTTTCAGAGCAACATGAAAATCTGGGTCTAAACTAAACTGATCACAGCATTTCAATATCTAACTTACAGTTATTAAAAATGTACAGTCATTACTATTTTAGCATTAACAAACATATTCCAAAACTCAATTTCAATTTTTTCATGCTTCTTCTACACTAAAAGGAAGCCCATACCTGAAATATGTTAAATAAAAACATGCTATCAAAATACAAGCATCTTTTGAAGCAAATAGTCAGAATTAGATGCCTTCTTCCTACGAAAACAAAACAAAACAACCCAAACCCAAATCAAATAGCTTGACATTAAGTTTTCCATTTCAAAATGCTGGATTCAGATGTGGCCTTCTGAGTGGATTCATTTGTTCATTTAAATCCATTCTCCGGTGAACATTTGTCACCAACCTAAAACTGTGATAACAAGCTAACGTAGCTGTGATCTTAACCACAGAATCCTTTGGGTTGTACAGGGCCTCAGGAGATCATTTAGTCCAACCTACTGCTCAAAGCAGGGTCAACACTGAATCTGGACCAAGTTGTCCTGTGTCCTGAAAACCTACAGGGAAGGAAGTTCCATAGGTTCTCTGTTCCACTGGTTAGTTAGCCTCATAATAAAACATGTTTACCCTGCATACTGTCACAAACCTCTCTCTCCTGTTTCAATTTATGACCTCAATCTCTTGTTCTCCTGCCATGCACCTCATCTTGCTTGTTGGCTTACTGTTATTAGATATCCCAAATATATTTTCCATGCATTTAACCATGGATCATCACTGTCAAGTTTTACCTTCCAATTCATGTTGTGAGTAGGGTTTCAGTAGTATTTGTAGGTAGGATTTTTCTTCTTTAATTGTTTCCACTGTCACGATTCAATCATTTTTAATAATTATGTGTACATACTGGGTACTTCTATGTATGAACATGAAAAACTTGGCTTATTTAAACAAACATAGAATAACTCCTTTTGTTAAGAACCATGTGATATAAGTTAAAAAATTTGTTATAAAGTCAGTTGATGAGTTTGAAAAATCAAAACTCAACTCACCTGTATTTGAGGGGAAACATCAAAGACTCCAGAGCCCTACAGGCATCACTGAGCCTCTGAAAACTTGCAGAGTGAAAGAGAACTTTATTTTCTGTAAGCACAGCACAGAATAAGCTGAGTACATTTTGGATTCCTTAAAAAAGAAATAAAAACAAAGAACTGTAACAATGTGGCAAAAGAAGAATCAAAATTACATTAACATATGTACCATTTTCTGGATGAATTTTCATAAAGCATATGATAGGTGCATAAATTGCCAAAACCTAAGTTTTTCTACCTTTCACTTAACTAGTGCAGTTTCCTTTCAATCTTTCATGTTGCTAAAATACTATCTGAATGTATTTCTACTTTTCAAATATATTGTATTATATCTCTCTTTCAACACCACTTCCAGGGATTTCCTATTCTCAGCACAAATCCCAGCAATGCTTAATAATGACTTCAACCAGGATTATGTGTATCTTCTGCATAGCCTTCTGCATATCTAGAATTCAATTCTGGTCACTGATTCAGGCTTAACTTCTAAACTTTTATGTATCTCTACTGCGGGGGAAAAAACCAAACCCAACAAACCAACCAACCAACCATACTGCTGAGCTCAAAAGAAAATGACAAAGACTTCCTAGTAAATGCATTCATAATTTATCCATGGAGAGCATTCTAGGAGTCACAAGGTTAGAAAAGGGCAGTAAGAGCACACATGTCATTAGAAGGGTATGTTAAAGAAGAGCTGACTGCTTAAACAAGCCCCACTAGATTTAGAGTAAGACTGATTAATATAATGGGGTTTTTTTTCAGGACAATATGATGTTCTTAGGAGACAAAGCCATCTGCTTTCAGGGAAAACCAAAAATACACTTCCTTTAAAACAAAGTCCCATCCTGAGCAGCAGACATGTCTGAGATATGTGAGATATGCTGAAATTTATGAAATTTCCTGAAATATGCTGGAATGCTTGATGTTTCCCTGAGGACAAAGCTAGTGTTATCAGTAAGACAGCCTGTATTACCTTTAGCTGGTACTTATCTTACAATGATATTCCCAGTAAGAAGTGTGACTACTGAGAGCCACTATATTCATAATACTTTGTTGTGCTTAAGTAATTTTTATTACATATTTTGACAAATCTTTTCTATGATGATGTATGAAAACTTGCTTCGCAGGAGAGGAACTTTGTTCACAAATATAAAAGGACAAGGACTCAGAGAGGACTGTTGAGAAAAAGACTTAATTCTTAGGATGAACAAGTAAAACAATAACTTCATAGCTTGTGCTTTCAGCATCCAAGAATCCGAAGAACAGACTTATAAGATCAAAGGCAGAGACCTGAAAGGACTCAAGAACAGAAGGCTTTGTTATAACAGTGAGCTACTGTTGCAAATATTTGCCATTGTTTTCAGTAGCAAAATTAATACTGCGCAAATATAAAATGAACTGCTTTTGTAGGAAAAAAAAAAGCATTTTCAGCATTTTTCACTTGAAATCTCTTCTGAATATAGGCTGCCTCATCAGATACCAATACACATTTCTCAACAGTACAATCACTACACAAATCTAATGAAGTATGTACACATCAGTTGACATGGGAAGACATTCTGCAAGGCTTTTGACACCATCCCCCATAACATCCTAATCTCTAAACTGGGGAATTACAGGTTCAATGGGTGCACTGTTTAGTGGATAAAGAACTGGATGGATAGTCACGTTCAGAGAGTGATAGTCAATGGCCCGATGTCCAGATGGAGGAAGGTCACGAGTGGTGTCGTACAGGGGTCTGTGTTGGGACCAGTGTTGTTTAATATCTTCATAAATGATTTTGGTGGCAGCATTGAGTGTGCCCTCAGCAAGTTTGCAGATGACACCAAACTGGAAGGTGCAGCTGACATGCCAGAGGGACGGCATGCCAAGCAGAGGGGCCTGGATAGGCTGGAAAGGTGGGCCCAGACGAACCTTATGAGGTTCAAAGCCAAATCTAGGGTCCTGCACCTGGGCTGAGGTAACCAGCACTATCGGTACAGGCTGGGAGAGGCTTTCCTGGAGAGCAGTCCTGTGGAAAGGGACTTGGGAGTGCTGGTGAAATAAAAACTGGACATGAGCCACCAATGTGCAATCACAGCCCAGAAAGCAAATCACATCCTGGGTTGCATCAAAAGAACTGTGGCCAGCAGATCAAGAGAAGTGATCCTGCTGCTCTACTCTGCCCTGGTGAGACCTCACCTGGAGTACTGCGTCCAGTTCCGGAGCCCCCAGCACCAGAAGGATTTAGACATATTGGAGTGAGTCCAGAGGAGGCCCACCAAAATGATCAAGGCATTATAGCACCTCTCGTATGAAGACAGGCTGAGGGAATTGGGGCTGTTCAGCCTGGAGAAGAGAAGGCTCTGGGGGGAACTTATAGCTACCATCCAGTACCTGAAGGGAGCCTACATGAAGGCTAAGGAAGGTCTATTCACAAGGGTTTGCAGTTATAGGAAAAGGAGTAACCATTTTAAACTAGAAAAGGGTAGATTTAGACTCAATATTAGAAAAAAATCCTTGTAATTTTTCCCAAGATCATTGGAATGGACTGCCCAGAGGTGCTGGAAGCCCCAACTCTGGAGTCACTCAAGATCAGCCTTGGACGACCTGACCTAGGTAAAGAGGTCCCTTCTTGTGTAGAGAGGCTGGACCAGATGACCTCTAGAGGTCCCTTCCAGTCTGAAACATTCTATGATGCTATGTTCTTGGTAAACAGAAAAATAAGGTCTTTGCTTCTGTAAACTTTGGAGGGGGGGGAGGGAAGAAAAAAAAATTAAACAAAACAAAACAATATAACAGGTTTGTCACCTGAATTCTACTACTACTGGAATTCACAAGTTTGACCTTCCTCCCAAGGTTTTATTGGAGGACAAAGGGACTACACTCAAAAAGCAACTTAATGGAATAAAAAGATGGGGAAAAAGAAACAATAAACCAATGTTTTTTAAAAAAATGTAAACTACACTAAGCAGTGATGATGGTACAGTTTGTGAGGCTTTCACAATTTCACTAGGGAAATTAGTCTGATTTTGCTCTATATTAGTGGCTGCAGATAAAGCTTCAGTTTCTACTCCATAAAGATGTTTCTCATTGTAGCTTAATCAGCACCAATATAATCCGATATTTAAGGTGACTACTTTTAGCAACTATCTCCCATGTATAAACTTGATGCCACAGAGAATATTTCTTGTAAACAGGTTTTTATTACATTCTCCTAGTTTCTCTCTCAGAAGTTGACTACATTTTAAATGTAGTGAAGACGAACTTGAAATGTCTGCTGTGATATGAATGCACCAGGTACAGCATCAGCTTTGCCAAGTTAGACAAAATCATTGCTTTATTTGCAGAATTTATGGAAGTGACCAAAATTTGGAGCATCTAAACACATCTCTCTCATAAATCAGAAGTCTTCTAAAAAACAGCAGGAAAAAAAACCAGTAAGGACACCAAGAAATATCCAATCTTCTCTGTGAGTTTGAACAGGGGCAAATGAAAGCCATCACCAAAGCAGGAAGACAGGCTGGTAGGGGCAAGGAAAGCTCACTGGCTAATTGATCACATATCAAAAGGGATTTGAAGCATAGTTTCTCCAGGCTGGCAACCCCTGTCACATGTCCAAATTAGTAGGTCCTTGGAAAAAGCAGTTAAAAATGTGAACTGTGCATCTTACTGCTGTGCAATCTATCATTGGCTATAAACCCTGAACAAGGAAACACCTCCACAGAGCAACAGAGAGCCAAGTGCAGGACACAGATCTCCTGCACTCCCTGTCTATGCATCTGGGCCATGTCCAAACACCTACATGAATCCTGTGTGGAAAACAAGAGATAATTACCTAGCGTAACTGATAAAATTTTATATAGATGTTCTTAACTTCAAGCTCAACCTTCAAGCTCAAGAATTTTCAATGGATTGAATGTCCATCTAAAAGTGTTTTCTAAATTCTTGCAACCATTCTGTGCATTCCTAATTCATAAAAAGCAGAAAGTAACCTCGCCAAAACCAGCCATGTTTCAGCAGAAAGAGAAAAAAAGATATTAGGAATCTTGTGTGCTTGCATCTGAAAGCAAAATTATTTTCATTTCTGCAAGAAGCCTACAATATAAATTAATATACCACAATGAGAGTATTGACTTTTCCCGTATAATCAGAGTTCATACAAAAATGAGTAAATCACTTAAAAGAAATAACAATACAATACACACACAAAACCCCCCCAAGAAATAACCAAGACAATTTATTTAGGTATCTTTCACAAAAGACAGTTTAAAGTGAGAATTTCACTGGCTCTTCTGATTTTCTTTAATGAATAAAAGCTTCAAAGCCTGAGAAGTATTAAATTTACACCTAAAGAGAGGTCTGAAGTTTATAAGGTTTTGTTTTGGGGCTTTTTTTTGCATAATGCATGTGCTCTTCTGTTGAGAAGCTGATTAGCAATATTCATCAATTTCTTGAAAACAAGCTACTTGTTTTGGAAACGTACTTGACTAAAAGGCTAATCGCTTTAATCACTGACTGTAAAACTTGTACAGGCCAGACAGCTTCTTTGGTAACAGTTGTTTTCCTTCTCTCTCTCTTTTTTTTTTTACTAGTCTGTATACAATATAGAAAAATAAAATAAACAAAATCAAGTGTACAATATAGACACCTAATCTAGAATTTTCTGATGTTGAAGATGATAGCCACTTAATGCAAAAAATATTGCTCCACGCATACTTTGAAATATAAGTTTTCAGGAATATCAACAACGTCATGACTGTAAAGGAAACTTTCACTTGATAGAATCAAAGAAATTATAAATAGTAAGACTTTTGACTGCTTTCATTTTTAAGCCATTTAAAGCCTTGATTAAGTTATTTGACAGAGTCACCGAGGTGTTGTTTCAAGCCTTCCATGCTGTTTACTGAAAACAAACAGTTTCAAATAGTAACCTGAGCCCAGTTTCCTCATGCTACAAGACACAATTGTGTCTGTCTGTAACCTTGAACCATACACTGGTCTTCAGACTCCACACTACATCCGATGCTAATTTGTCAGAGCATAAATACACAACATGAAAAACAACAAACAAGTTGATTTTTACAGATTACTTTTTTTGCCATCTACAGACAGACA